TTATTGGTAGGAGATGCATTTTATAAATATTTCTAAAATATATATGTATAGTAAATGCATGATATTAATGCCTATTTCATCAATGTAGACTAATTTTAATTTTAATTCAACTTAATCTTTATTTTTTTCTAATTCTAAAAATTAGAAAAAGAGAAAGAATAAGTTGAATCTAAATTAAAGTTAATTATACTGGTGGAAACAGGTATTAGTTTATATGTATAAGTCTTGTAACGCAGTTTTAATTTCACTCTTCAATGTTTGTCACCAGCCTGGCGAAATTAAAACGTGGGAGGAGGTCGTTCAAGTCGGTGAACGTCCACCGACATGTTGCAATTTCCCCGTCACAGTAGCTCGAGAATCAATGTTCGTTTTCAGCGGACAGAGCGGAGCTAGGACAACTAATAGTCTTTTCCAGTTTCATTTTAAGGAGAAGCGGTAAATTTTGTTGTAACACGTGTAGTGTTTGCGATGTAATATTACATCGTAATTCGTAGACTTGAGTCATGTTTCGTCTATCATAAATTTATCTTCTCTAGGTGGACGCGCATATCGACGGAGCACATATTGCGTGGCGCACCACCACCGCCCGCAAGACGATACGGTCACACGATGGTCAGTTTCGATCGTCATCTTTACGTTTTTGGTGGTACAGCTGACTCGGCTTTGTCCAATGATCTCCATTGTTATGATCTCGATACGCAAACGTGGAACGTTATTTTACCGTCCACAGATAGTCAGGTAAGATGACTTATAAAGATGAATTCAAGTCAAAGTAAAGACGAATAATAACCGGAATGAATATAACAAGCTTTTCCTTTTATAAATTGCTAATAGATAGAACATATTTGTTAATGCAAATTTGCACATATTTGTATTTGCAGTGCTATTCACATTCGTTAAAATAAATTGCTGATTTATTAGCGTTTTCTGTTTAATCTGGATCCATCTTAGTATATTTGCTAATGTTTTTTCCACAATGATATGTTACAAGAGATTATAAGTAATTTTTATTTTTATAATAATGCATGCACACAGGTACCATCCGGTCGACTTTTCCACGCTGCTGCCGTGATCGGAGATGCGATGTTTATTTTTGGAGGAACCGTGGACAATAACATACGCTCTGCAGAGATGTACCGCTTCCAGTTCTCGTCTTATCCCAAATGTACCTTACACGATGATTTCGGCAGGTTGCTGAATTTGAGCCTCTTCTGCGATGTGGAATTCATAGTGGGCGAGCTGGAGACCAAGATACCGGCGCATATAGCCATGGTGGCGGCTCGCTCGCAATTTCTTCGGACACTTATTCGACAAGCGCGCAAAAAACGAGATAAGCAAAAACTCATTGATGTACCCACTAATGAATCCTCGCTATTGGAGGTAAACAATTTAGCAAAAACATAAAAATAAAAAATTATATGCAATTCTATTTCACTTAAGTTATGAAAGATAAAAAAATATAATTGAAAAAATATAGGTTTGTTTTTTTCAGCTAAACTTTTTACGTTTATGTTTTCTCTTTTTTTCTGTAAAACGTGGAGAGAAAAAGAGGAAAGATGAATGATGTAAGAAGTTCAGCTGAAAAGAATAGATTATATTTACGTTATAAACATCTATTTGTATATATTCTTCCTTGCTTTTATAAATTTGGCTATTATGTTGCAGGTGAAATTAAAAGACGCTGTACCAGAAGCTTTCAAAATGGTGCTGAACTATATTTATACAGATCGTATCGATCCTACTAAAAGACTGGATGACAAGATTGAGGACCCGCAGAGTAATCGCATCGTACTTCTTATGATAGACGTCTATCGCCTTGCTGAGCAATTCCATATGAAACGTTTAGAACAATTATGTGTTAATTACCTCGAAGCAACCATAAGCCACACGAATGTCTTGGAGGCGTTATGCAACGCCGTACACTTGAAATTATACTTTATAAAGGATTTTTGCCTCAGCTTCGTCGTGAAGGAAAACAATTACAATCTAATCGTGATGAGTCGGGAGTTCGAGACTTTGGATCAGCCGCTAATGGTGGAGATTATCAGGCGACGGCTAATGCCGCAAACTAAAACTATTACGAAGTACGAATCTGTCACTGGTAGGTTTCATGCGCGACACACGTTTATCATAAAATAGTCTCTTATGAAATTTACTTGTTAGGAACTAACCTGGAGCAAGACATGGAAGCATTTTTAAAGAGCTTCGGTCAGGAATTTTGTGATATTACATTGGAGCTGAACGGTAGATCGATACCGGCGCATAAGGCCATCCTCGCTGCACGATGTGGCTATTTTGAAGGACTGTTTCGATCCACGCCAGGAAATAATACGGCAAATGTAAGTAATTTATAAAAAAAAACACGTTACTAACGAATCTCTTACTAAACGAGAGAAGCGAGATAATATCGTCGTCCATTTTAATGCAATATTTCACATGTACAATTATAAAATAGCACAAAACTTTTATGTAGGTACAAATTGGCGAGACGATACCGTCGTACGATTCATTCTACTCTTTACTGAAATATATTTATTATGCGAATGTCTCGATGCCTCCTGAGGATTCTCTGTATCTGTTTGCTGCATCGGAATATTACAGTTTCACGAATAATCGACTAAAGGTGTTTTGCAAACAAAATCTCGAAATGAACGTTACTTTCGAGAATGTTATACCGGTTTTAGAGGCAGCTGAGAGAACGCAAAATATTGATATGAAAAAGTATGCCCTCAATCTGATAGTTCATCACTTTAGCGAGGTAAAGAAATGATCAGATCCTGGACACGTATGTTCGATATTAACATTCGTAATATGTATAGACATGTATACGAAGTATTGCTTTTATTTAGGTTGCCAGACTGCCAAAATTGAGAGAATTAAGTCGTGAGCTCTTACTGGATATTCTTGATGCTTTAGCTGATGATCGCAGCGATGCTAGAACGTGTCAAGATATGACTACTGATTGCTGACGGATTTCTATTTCAGATCGTCGTCCATGTAACTGGGATTTACCATCGCCGTGCAGTTTCCAAGTGAGTATGATTATTTAAAAAATATATTATTCTCAATATTGTTATATTTTTATTTTAAATAAGTTATAGATATTATTAATAATATTATTAATGCTGAGCAAGAAAAATGCTAAAAATATTTGTGATGATATTCCGGAGTTTTCTCGTTCTAGGAATTATGCCGGGTGAATTTCATCCTCATAGGACGAACGGTTCTGTTTGTTGGTAACTGTTATCTCGATCACACGACTAAATCTTGCCTGACATCAGACATACAGACCCTGTTACCATTGTCGATTCAGGATGAGTCGTCATCGTCATCGTCATCATCATCGTCATCCTCATCCTCATCCTCATCATCGTCATCGTCATCGTCATCGTCATCGTCATCGTCATTGTCATCGTCATCGTCATCATCATCGTCATCATCGTCATCATCATCTCGTTATGGTGATAACAGGAAGCACCAATGGTCTACTATTACCCGTCGTTGTTCCGTCAGTTGCAACATGTTGAGACGCACCGTTGTCGCTCTTTCGGACCTTGGACTTAGAAAGTTATTCCCGTAAATCGGAATTGTGTTAATATTAAATGAAATGACGATGATTTTCGTCAAGCTGTGTCATAGAAGTGTTTATTGCATGATGCAAAACTGCTCGAAAGCCGATGTATAATATTAGTGTAGTGATTGTGTCTATTCGTATAACAACATTAGACATGATATTATACACAGGATGCGCATCAAGGTATCATTTTCCAATATTTTACATAAATACCCTGATGAAAAAATTCTGATAGCTCATATTTTTAAGAATTTTTCATATTTCAAATTTATGAAAACATATTTTAAACTTTTGCAGATTTTATAAGTTTTCTTAGGAAATTATAGAATGCAAAATTTAAAAATTCTTAAAATATTTCCTCAAATTCATACATAAAGAATTTTAGAAAATATGTAGGACTGTTTCAGTATTTCTGAAAAATATTCATATGAAAAATTCGAGAATTTTAAAAAGTTATAAAATTATACATAGAATTCTGAAAATTATATAGAAATATTGAAAAATGATATGAAGAAAAATTCTAAGAAAAATTTCACCAGGGTAGATACATTAATGTCACTTCCAATTATGACATACGTTATTACGTATGTCTTAATTAGCAATTGTTATATTGTATTATTTATTTATGCAGAGTGTTAGAATTTGGGTATAATGACAAAAGTATGCAGAAAACTAAGCAACGAGAATGAAATTTTTTTATTTTGAGCCATTTTTAAGTGAAAGGTCCTAAAGTTTGGTCATTCATATGCAGAATCTTTAATTTCTGTGCTTTTTGTTGCTTCTGTTTTATACCCGAATTTTGTGATATATTATAGCATTTGGCTATAATACTAATGAGATACCATTGAGAATTCTACTAAGATGTTATTAAGAACTCTATTGAATTTTCAAGCGCTATTAATCAATTTTAATCGGCCTGTCTCCAGTTCAAAGGAAATTGGAAATTGTTAATATTATTAACAATTAATATTATTAACTGCTGGATCGTTCGATATAAACATCTATATGCTCAATCCACAAGGCACTAAATATTAATTTTAGTTATTTCGATATTTTATGATGCATAGCAATTTTTTTAAGTGACATGAACTTTTATAACAAATCAGTTTTTAATGGTATCTCATTGTGGCGGCCATGATAAGCCTATGTGTTTCCATGTTTTTATTATACATATTGAAGTATAGTCTGTAAAATATACATGAAATGTCTATTTGTGCTAAAGAAAGCATTGTTACAACATATTTACATGTATTCACATATTGTTCCATCGTATCCCCGTTGATTTTTTTGTAATTATACATGAGACAGGAATATTTTTATGGGCTTAAGTAATATATATAGTAATATATATAAAAATAATTTCATTTTATGCAGGTAGAAGAGAAATGATAAAAATGATAAAAATGAATATTATGTGCATGTATTGTTGAAGGTGAATACATTTTCAAGACGTTTCAGAAAGTTGTTGATATAAGAAATATCTATAACTAATGTGAGAGGACATAGGAAATTAAATTTAGACTATATATCAGCATGAGTCATTAAATTGCAAAGGGCGCCTATATTTTCATCGAATATAATATAATAAATTAAATTATACTTGCAAAAAGAAGAGATTTTTTATTTAATTTATTGTTATTATTTGTTAGCCTTGTCGAACGATAATTACGATTTAAAATTTACGAAACTGAAACTACAGAAGACAATAGTATTAGTGCAGCACGATAAAATACAAGTATCACTTAAAACAAGACTTTCGCGAATTGTAGAGTGGGTGGTAACATTAATAATCGCACTTGATTAATAAATTATGTATTATATTTCAATCTCGAATATAATTGTACATACATATGATTCATATTCTCGTGGAAGATAATTAATGCTTCAAGTTTACAAGAGCAAACAATACGAATCGAGGGAACGAGAGGAACCGAATAGGTGCTCATATATAAAATCACATTGCTCTGTCTCTTCCTGTATCTCTTTCTTTCTCTCTATCATCCTTTTCTACATAATATTATCTCTAGAGAGAGACAGGTTTTTATTGTATCTAATGTTATCTCTAGGCAGGTGGTACTTATTTATTCTGAATACACATCCGATTTATAACGACATTTCATTCCAAGTAACTGAATAAAAAAAATCAGTCTCGCGATCGTTGAGGCTTATTTTCCTCATCTTGAAGTGAGATGCCGTTGAATCAAGATTTGTGCTTGGAAGTAAACATCCTTCTTTTACATTTTTCTGTTTTTATCCTTTGTTCATCAAAGCGTGTTTCGCCAGAAAACAGTGCACCGTCTATGGCCCATTTCTTTTAACAATCTTCAACCAGACATACGTTGACAACACGTTGACATACAATCCTTCGACGACTATCGAATCTTTTTTCATAGAAGTAACAAGATAATTGAATGAGAAGAAAATAATTTTAGGCAAAGAGGATATTAAACAAGTGAAAGAATGAAGCAAATGTTATCTCCATTTCGATGTTTGAGATTTATTAATTTCTGTATATACATTACTATTGTTCTTGATTATGATGCATATCTATTGACATACATTTCTTCGAGAAACTTTCATTTAATATAACGTATTTTAGCTTCGTATTTACTTTTATTTTACTTGTATGAATAATTCCCGTTCAGTCATCTGTTACATCCATGATCTTTTTTTTTTGATAAGATTTCTTAGAGAGGTTTATTACTTTCCACTTATTAAACCCATTAGGTTATGACATTCACCAAGCCGTTGCACACGTACATCAATTGCGCACCGTACAAGGACAATATGCCATATAAATGAAAAAAATAAAAGATATTAGAGAAAAAAAAGTTTGAAAATATGTAAAAAAAAAAGAATTAAATTATTTAAAGTTATATTTTGTTTCTCGATTAAATAACTGATCCGCTATAATTAAAGCTTCTACGATGCTTTGTGTAAATGAATCGTTATGTTATTATTTTAGTATTCAATAATAATTTTAAAGAGTGATGTGCCAGGAAAATAATTCATTTTGTGACACATTCTTCACGATCGTTAACTACATGTTAACAATAGTTATTGAATCATTTCTCGTTAAAATCTAAAATAGTTAAAGTACTGAAATAATTGAACAAAGAATAAAATAAATTTTTAGATAATATTGATTAGCTAAATAAAAGACGAAATAACTGTCATTTCCATTTCGATGTCTGAATTGCGATGTCGATTACATATCACACCGTAAAATTGAGACTTCTTTAGAATGAACGCAGCGATTTAAAATCTACAAATTTTTAAAGGTTTCGATGTCTTTGTACGCTCTTATTTCTCATTAATGCGTTAAGTCTGAACAAGGCAATTGTAGTCAAAACCTTCTTTTTCTTTTTTTGGTCGTTGGGTAGGCATTGTGCCTCTACAATGGGAAAAGGGAAAGAAAGACGCCAACTTGTACTCTTGCACATTCCTGGTTTCCTTGCTCGAAATCAGTTTTCAATTTTCTTCGATTCTTCAAAGATTTTTGTTCTATCATAAGGCGCCTAAATGAATTTCTTTAAAAAGGCGTATTATACGCTAGCTGCGGCCCTACATTCACTATGAAATCTTAATGTAATTACTCTAAGTAGGCCTTTCTGTTCATCGCTTAAAAGTCTAAGTCGAAATCTGTATTTAATACTGCACGCAGCCAACAACGCCACGATGCGATATTAATCATAGATAACATGGACTTAGTTTAATTATTACAAAGAGACATCTACGAATTACAAGAAGATAACGAGATAAAAGTAGCGATACGGTAGTGGTACAAACTTCACACGTTGATTTCGAATGGCCCCAATCTGAAATTCAGAAACAATAATGAACATTTTCCTATCGGTATTAATTTGTACGACGTATCGACATTGTATGACGTCTTACCGATTGTAATGTATTGATTGACTCGTTTTGTAGGATTCCAAAGAGTGCGAGACAATCAATCCTCGAAGATCAATGCTCCTCGAATTTTCTGTGTGCAGTACTCACACATAGAGAGAAGAATGCATCTCGTTGAGCATTACATATCACGTACATCCATGTCGAACATTACATTTCACGTCGAACATTATATTTCACGTCGAACATTACATATCACGTCGAGCCTTTACATATCACGTACATCCACGTCGACGATGTGGTCCACACCAAATGTTTGGAAAATTCTTCTTTCAGGTCAATTTGCAGGTCATTTCTATGAGCAATAATAATGATTTGTTATTATTAAATGTTCGAAAAAAATATTAAATTCAAGCACAATGAAAAATCTGGAGTTAATAAACAAAATTAAACTAAGAATCTCTCTGAAATTAATAAATTTAACGAATCTCGATTTTTATTTGGCAAATAATTACAATTCCAGGAATCTCTAATTATTTTGGTTAATCTATTATTTAATTTTTATAAGAACTCTTACGCGCGCGCATTTTAATAATGATCTTCGATTTACAAAATGAAACGTCGAACCATTTATATTGATCCTAGATTGATGAATTTTATCACTACTTACTTGATATCAAATCTTATATGGAATTTCAACCTTCCTTGTCATTTATTATCATCATTTTCTACAATTTCGTTTAAACATTTAGCGTATTATCACTATAATCTTTAGCATATATTTGATTTAAATTGTAATGAATTTTTAATAAATTATAGAAAAGTTATTTTAATAATATAAATTATACAAAATTAATAATTACAATGTCAAATTATTTTATAAAAATGTCCTAAGCTCTCCATTATAATAAAAATCTTAATTTTCTTAAAATTATAAATTATTTATACCTTTTCCTCGACGATACTGCTCGTCGATGGTATTCTCTGCGAAGGATCTATCCTTCTCCGTCTTTCTTCGATAACTTCGGTGTCGGAACTGCCCATAGTTACTTGTGCTGATTGCGTCAAGGATGCATTTACGTGTCTCGTTTTCATCAAAGGCGGATTCCGAGATTGTGGTAACGCGAATCCTCGTCTGAGAGCACCTCGCGGTGGTGACGGTGGTGGATAAGATATACCTGTGACACACATCGTCAATACGTGAGAGAGGAAGAGAGAGAAAGAGAATATTCATTTAATTTTTTCAGAGGGAGAAACCGAAGATTTCAAACAAAAGTAACTTATGCTCTTAATGTTTTCTGAAGGTTTTCGGAGTCATTAAATTCGATTCTGGCTTTAAAATTCTAAAATTCAAATTAAAAAAAATCTGATTATCTTAAAACAGCTGGGTCTTAGGAGTTCTTGGTATCGTGGAGTTTAAATGCGCTGAAAATCCATCCTTATGAAAAAGACACTGAAGATTTCGGAAAAACACTCAATTTTCAGTTTTTTTTTCATAAGAGCCAAAAATGTTGAATTTCAAAGATTATAATAATTTCCATAAAGGACGCTCTAGTGTTACAAGATTTATAATTAGAATTTAAAAGTCAGTTTGGAAATCAGTACTGTCTGCGTGGCATTAATGAGTTTCATTCAAACAAAGCGAAATTGGAAACTTGGTGTATATATATATATATATATATATATATATATATATTATCATGCGTATGCAATTAGTTGTACATTTTAATGCCTATATATAAATATATTGTATACAGTGCGTATGTGCACATACATGTATATTGGAATCATATTTACTAATTGGTTTATATATATGTAAGTACCTAGTCCAAACTTAAATCCTGATCATGATGTTATATAATTTTTTTTATGTATTCTCGTAAAGAAGTTATTTAATAGCAAGTTAAATCACATAAATTTTATAAAATCTTGTATTATAACGTTAAAGCATTTAAGCAATTACTAAAACTGGTTTTTTTTTTAACTGAATTGTTTAGCAGCGTAACGTATTGCTTATGCAATCATAAAGTGTAAAAAACAGTTAAAGGTGAATCTATTTATATGCCGCTTTTAATAAAAACAAGCCAATTATAAGTACGTTTTGTTTTACACTTACAGCGCTTACAAGCATTCGTCTTCGTTTAATATTTGATAGCTAGCAAGGATAAACTGATGCTTATAGCATATCGAAAACGAGACGCCCTTAGTAAATATTAGGATGCGTTTCACTTTATATTTGTAACGTTCGCGAGAATCATTTTATTATTTTTTTAACATTTTCAAATATAAATAAAGATGAAACGCTTGCGGACATGCGAATGTTAAAGTGAATCGCATTATTTAAACTCCTTTTACATCGGCGATCCGCATACTAATTAGTAACTTTCTATTAAAATTATTCATATAATTATTCATTTTAGCAATGTATTTAAAGAATGATGTACTACATTGGTATAATATGCATCAATATGATTAATGAAATATTCATATCATATAATGTTTACGTAAAAAATCGCCGAAATTGAGATAATTTAATAGACAGTGAACGCAGCCTAAGGTCTGTTCTTTTTTAAAAAGTGATAGAAACAATAAGATTGGCAACACTGCTCGATGGAGTCGAGTGTTGATTGTTGGTCATTGTGGTTGTGTAGTGGATGTGCGAGCGGTTAATCGTATGCTACAGAGAAGTTTAATTTGTCGATTAAGAGAAAATATACGATCGTAGATTAAAGCGCCATAATGGTTAGTTTTTCCTTAACTCCGCACCGATACATTATTTTTTTTTCTCGCAGGAATCTATGTTACAAACTATATATTAGAACACGTGATAATATTAACCTCTTCTTCATTACTATTTAGATTTTTCAGGTGGTGCTACGATTTATTTCCTAATTTGAAACTTACGTTCAGTTCTTGTTTCTGTGTAATAGTTTTTTCTTAAAAAATTTCTATATACCTAATGTAACCTTTCCACCTAATATCCCCCTCTCCACTTAATATCCTTTTTCCCACCTAATATCTTTCTTACCGATAAAAAAAAATTATTTATTTCAGAAACCTTTGATGTTGCACGGGCACGAACGTGCCATCACCAAAATAAAGTATAATAGAGAAGGAGATCTATTGTTTTCCGCTAGTAAGGACAAGCAACCCAATGTTTGGTACTCGTTGAATGGAGAGCGTCTTGGTACTTTTAATGGACACAATGGTTCTGTATGGTGTATTGATGTCAATTGGGATACCACACGGTTGTTATCCGGCAGCGGTGACAATACTCTGAGAGTCTGGGACTGTGAAACTGGTTTGTGCATATGATAATCATACAAAATAAAAAAATTTTGCTTGTGAGTCATACATAGTATCTTTGTATAATGTTCAGGTAAGGAAATAGGACAACTACACACGAACAGTTCTGTAAGAACGTGCGGCTTCAGTTATTCTGCAAACCTCGCGGTGTTCTCCACTGATAAGGCTTTAGGTCACCAGTGTGAGATGTTTATTATGGATGTACGAAATGTTGATTCTACATTATCGCAGGAGGATGCGATCTCTAGAATTTCGGTCAATGGTCCTAGAATTTCTGCTATATTATGGGGAGCCCTCGACGAAACCATTATCACGGGTCACGAAGATGGTGAAATTAAACTTTGGGATGTGAGAGTAAGTATCTTTATCATTATCTTAATTGCAGAAATATAATGTATAAAATATTAGTAGGTACATTGATATTAATTATTGTTTGTAATATTTATAGACAGGGAAGAAGCTGTCTAGTGTTAAAGGTCATAAATCTCAGATAAATGATATGCAATGCAACAAGGATGGCACCATGTTTGTAACTGCATCCAAGGATCACACGGCAAAACTTTTCGATAGCGAGTCTTTAATGTTATTGAAAACTTACAAGACGGAAAGACCTGTAAATTCGGCTACGATATCACCAATTTTTGATCATGTAAGATTCAAGCCACGGAATAGTCGTTATTATGATTTTTGAAAAAATTGTGATAGAAAAGTATGATATAATTTCTATCGAAGGAAATAAATGTAGTATTTGCTAACCATATTTTTCTGTAGGTGGTTCTTGGTGGTGGTCAAGATGCAATGGATGTCACCACAACATCTGCACGACAAGGCAAATTCGATTCACGATTCTTTCACTTAGTATTTGAAGAAGAATTTGCACGTTTGAAAGGACATTTCGGACCCATTAACTCTCTCGCTTTTCACCCTAATGGTCGCAGCTATTCTACAGGCGGAGAAGACGGATATATGCGCATTAATAATTTTGATCAATCTTATTTCGACTTTCATTTCGAATATTAAATTATATATATATATATACACACACATACTTATGATTATAAAAGTGTTCAAAATTAAGTATACAAAAAGGAATAAAAGGGGTAAATGAGATAACCCATTTCGAGAATAAATTTCTCCAAATATATATATACTATGTATGTGTAATCATTTTTCCAAATTAAATGAGTTAAAAGAATAGGTTTTGTAACAAAAAATGGAGGAATTGTATACTTAATTTTTAACACTTTTATAATCAATTTTTTACAAATCCAAAAAGGAACGCGAAATTTCCGACTACGAATCGACTACTTTCACATCGATTCATCCTAATATAATTTTTGTGGTAATTGTCAACTCTAAAAATTATCTGGTTATTAAATATCATTGACAAAAATTTATTATTAATTTTATTATATACATCAGCGATAGGCAATGTAATAATTGTATGAAATAAATATTCCAGATTTGTATAAATCTCTATACTCTACATTTTTTATATATAAATTATCTATTAAAAATTAAGAAAATTTTTTTTGAAATTTTAAAACAATTATTAAATCACATCATTATATATACAAGGTGCGTCCCAAAATTTTCCGAACTTTTGAAATAAAACAACAACGGTTTACTTTTTTTTTTCAAATTCAAATTGTTTATTCAAAGTAGTCCCCGTCGGACTCAATACAACGTTTGGCACGATCTAAAAGCATTTCAAATGAGTGTTTTATGTCGTTCAAAGGCACGTCCTTCAGAATAGTGGTACAAGCCCTTTGGATGTCTTCTACGTCCACATACCGCTTTCCTTTCATGGACAAATGCATTTTGCCGAATAGGTAGAAGTCACAAGGTGCCATATCAGGCGAATACGGGGAATGGTTGATTGTTAAAATGTGATTTTTAGTCAAAAAATCAGTGACAAGTGTCGAACGGTGAGATGGCGCATTATCGTGTAACAAGCGCCAACTTCCTCCTTCGCGATATTCTGGCCGAATACGACGAATGCGGTGCACCAAACGCTTCAAAACGCTTACATAGAATACAGCATTAACTGTTTGGCCTGCTGGAACGAATTCTTTGTGCACAATACCCTTGGAATCATAAAAACAAATGAGCATTGTCTTCACTTTTGACTTCTCTAAACGCGATTTTTTGGGTTTTGGGTCGTTTCGCGCCTTCCATTCCGCGCTTTGACGCTTGGTTTCTGGATCGTATTGAAAACACCACGTCTCGGCACCAGTAACAATGCTATAAAGGAAGTTTTGGTCCTTTTTTGCTTCCTTAATAATGTCCTTTGAATGTTGAATTCGATGCATTTTTTGGTCGTCAGTCAACTTGTGTGGAACAAATCGTGCACAGACTTTTTGTAGGCCCAAATGTTCGGTCAAAATGCGATAAATCGTTGATTTGGGGATGTTCAATTCCATTTCCATGTATCTCACTGAAGATTTTGGCTCATGCTTGATGAAATTACGCACAACTTCGATGGAATTTTCGTTAATTGTCGATTTTGGGCGACCTGTATGTGCGTCGTCATTTATGTCCTCACGACCGTTCTTGAATCGCGTATATCACTCATAAACATTGGCACGGGCTACACAATTATCACCATAAACTTGTTTCATCAAATTATGGGTTTCGGTAAATGTTTTACCAAGTTTAAAACAAAACTTAATATTGGCTCTTTGTTCGAAGTTCATTCTCGTACCGATGTATACAACATACTGACACTTGAGACGCCATAACTTCGTTTCCACTGAACCAAATGTCATGAAATTTTTACTGGAAGTCAGCTAGGGATGTACCTTTCAAACGCGCAATCGAACACACGGATGGCGCCACCCGACCTATCCCTATTGAAAAAGTTCGGAAAATTTTGGGACGCACCTTGTATGTATATTTAATAAATAATATTTAACATCTAATAATAAAACGATTAAAATAATACATAGATATTTGTTATAATGTACATACCAAGTTATTCACAAGTATTATCGTAAGTTTTATTTATTTAAATTAAGTCATAAAATATTTTATTTAATAACCAATTTTATTTAGAATTATAAATTTTCTTTTTCATTTTTTGTTAGTTTTTTTTTATTACTTTAAAAAAGGTTTAAATGTTAAATGAACAAATTACAGTACATATTTTAAGAGAATTTAGTAAAAAACTAATATTTCTAATATTCTTAAATACAATGTCAATTATAGATCTTTTATCTTATTTAATAGGGCAAAGTAAAAATGCGGTAATCAACAAATATATTTTACAATCATTGTTTCTTGTTCATCAAACTTCCGTTTGATCTCCATTAGGCTTTGAAATGTAGCATACATGTACAAAGGTTCAAAGTGTACTGTAAGAATTTTAATTCAATGTTGGTACACACTTTATTTTTATAATCGTATAATATTGTACAAATTATTACAATAAACTATATATTTCTGTAATTATGTCTGTTTCTTAATTTTACCAACATGGCTTGCCGTAAGCGTTTGGCAAGATAGCAGAATTAAATAATACAGCCATACAGTGCAAAAATGCACTTTCTCGAATCCTTCACTCTGTGATTACGACTTTTTTTTCTCTAAAATTATATCCTACAATAATAGTACAAAAAATTATTATCGGGATAAATTGAAATTGCTAAATTAAACTCGTTATTTCTTTTAACGACTATCTACATATTGATGTATCCTATAATCGTTTCGGAGTGTATACAAGAAGAAAATGAAATGAAAAGTCTCTTCTTGTGTACTACGCTATTGCTATACTCTATATTATAACTTTACATATTTATATATATAATATCATAAATGTTTATATTATATATATACATATATAAATGTAGACGTACGCCGCGTTGAGTGTGCTAACAGGATCAATGCTCCATTTCATATTCACGTTTATCAGAAAAAATGTATACACGAGTTGTGTGTCATCCTATTTTATTGATATATTTCTTTATATTATATCCTATGTTAATGTACATTTTTGTTGTTTTCATAAGAGCGCACTAAAATAAAACTGGGTACTTTGTTTTTTTTTTATTACAGTATACGTGACTAAAGGGTTCAAAAATCTATAGTAATATAGATACAATTTACAAGTTTCGATTTAAAAAAAAAAAAAGCAAAAAGATTTCTCGTATTACATCACAAATTATTTCATACACACAGTTCTATGAAATATCATAAATAAAAAGTATGACAATAATTTCACTAACTGTTAATTAAAAAACGTATGATGGCGAAATGAAAGCATAATATATATCTGAAGAACTAGATGGTATCCAGTATAACACTTGTCGTTAGTACCTGTGTACTATAGATTCGTGACTGTCGTGGGCACTCTGGTCAATTAGTACAATTTATCGCATCGTATATCGTTCGGAAATTATTTCGCAAACATGATGTTTATCAGCCTATCAAACCGGAGATTACGGACAATTTCACTGTCCTAAAGTCATATAGCATCATAATAACAAAATAGAATAAATTCGAATATATTTATCTTAGAAAAAGAATTTACATTGTAGAGAATTCGCTATGTATGAGAGTAATCCATACTGCGCATAATGTTATTACGATGTACGTAGCATCAAAATGTTACAATACACTTGATATTTCGCGCGAGAGAGTTCATGTTACACATATAGGCGAGTTTATAGGTCGGGAGTATGCAGCTCTAGGATTTAACCAAGGAATCAGACTGAAGGCCACCCTTTAATATTTTTACAGTCTATTTTATGTAGGTCCGATAACAACAATAAAAATTCTTAAATAAATATATATCGGTATAATCATTGATGGAATATTATTACGCAGTCAACTAGTTTCCTTGTTGTCACGAGTCATAAGATTTTTTCTTTTTTCTTGCTTTTTTTCTTCTTTAGGTATTTGGAATTAATTCGCGTCTTAAAGCATAGTATACATACACATGTACACGTTAACGGCACGTTAATCACTGTACGTTTGCAGTGATCGGCATGGAGTACCACAAAAAGTTATGCGAAATTCGATCAGACAAGACACAATTATCACTCAAGCTCATCATTGCTATTTTCCTCTGCCTTGAATCGCACCGGATCTGGTTGTAGGTTTCGCCGGTTGCGGAATAATCGTTATCTCATCATTAATCTTCAATGGCTTTAGAAGCGAATCATTCGATCGAGACGATGGAGATGCAGGCGTGTTCTTCTTATCCATTACTCTTTTTGCTACAACACTATGCGCCGAGTATACATGATTCTCGAACTGCTTGTACATTCCGAATGTGGCAGTGCAGACTGTACACTTATATGATAAATGTGCTGGCTTTAATGTCATCCCGTGATCTCGAGCAACATGATTTAATAATTTCCATTGATATACCTAGAAATCAACATATACATTTCATAAATCATGTTTATACTTCCTTTATTCTCGAAAACAAAATTTCATGTTACAAACAACAGAAAAAAAATGAACTTACCCTGCCACAAGCTGGACAACGACCCGCATCTTTTCCTTTATTTGCTGCCTCTTGCATACTAGATGTAACAAGCCCATGAGATCCTAATAAATGTCTTTCCAAACCCTATTTAGAAAAAAAGAAATATGTTATTATATATATGCATTTTTAAATGGATGAAAATAATGATTAAATTTTAAAACTTTATATTTTAATAAATATTAAATTTTACTGATGTAAATAAAATGTTATATAAATATCAGTGCATATTTTTCATGATAAAAGAAATAGAATAATTGCACTTTAACTTCAGAAATATTTTTATTTATTAACTTAACTAAATAATTGTGTAAAAATACCTGATCTGTAAAGAATCGGAATTGGCATTTCTGGCAGTTTAATGGAGGTCTGTTATAAATCATCTTTGGATGTATTTTTACTTTGTGGATCCACTGCATGTGATTTCGTAATTGTTCTAGATCCTAAAATAAATACAATAGAAAAATTGCAAAATATTTCGAAAAGATTTACGAATATTACTTATAATATCTTAACATCTGTTAATAATTAGATATTAATTAATAATACAAATTATTCATTATTTATCATCTATTATATTAATTTGTTAATTTGCAATTTCCAAGAGTAGTGACCATCAAAAATAAGAATAATAAAAGTCTATAATTTAATAGTCTATAAATTTATCGTACACTCACCTTAATATATCCATCACAAATTTCACATATAACAAATGTATTTTTTCCTCCAGATTTCGAAGAAGTTCCTGATCCTGGAATGGAGGTCTGAGATGTTGTACGTGGTAGTGGAGTAATAGATATACTCGGCTGACTTAATAGCTTCGCTGTAGGATTTTTGGAACTGGCTGTTGTATTCTGAAAAGTATAAAATACTTACGTTATTTTTAAACACAAATTGGTGTCAGTTTAATAATGTTACTTTTATAAATCATATAATAACAAATATCTGTTTTATTTAATATCCACCTGAAAAATTTGACATTAAAGTTACACATTTGTTATTGCTTTTTCTTCAGACAATGTGTGTATGTGTGTATATGTGTATTTTTCCACTAGGTCTAATTAAATTTCTGCAAAGTTCAATGACAATTTATTGAATATATGAAACGTTGTTTCTCAATTTTTCATCGATTAATCTTTATTTATAACCATGTAGCAATTATTACAACTTAAGAATTAAGATAAACATTTTTTTCATTAGTAAAATTACATATATATTAGTTGATAAAGATTTAGCATTTGCACTGTATAGTACAAATATAATCATATCCCACACATTACTATTTATATATGAACGATAAAGGGTAAAATAAATATTATTATATTTATTTTAATCTATTATATTAACGAGAAATGTGTGTGTGTGTGTGTATGTTCTTAAATATTATGTGTACGTATAATATTAATTATTAGATCAGTTTAAAAAATGGAAGGAGTTCTCTATGCGCAGTGTTAAAATTTTCAAGCGACTACAAGTTTATCCGATCGTTCATAATCAAACTTGGAGAATGTTAAAAGCCTTTCTTTTGCACCTGCAAAACACATCATTCATGCGAACTCACGAAATCAGTTATTCTCCCTGGTTACTTTCCAATATTTATTTACCTGTGATGAGGACAACCTAGACAGAGAGTCGATTACGTTGGGTACAAGTGCAATTGGTGTGGGTTGACCGGAACTGCCGCCGCTACTGCTACTCACTCCCGAGACAGCCGACATGACAGTCCCAGAGCCACCCACCACCTGCCACCACCCATACATCTTTTTTACTAGTTCTTTGGAGCTTCGAATGTACTTAAAGTATTTACGTGTGTACAGTGTACACACATTCGTGAATATTGTTATTAGAGAATGCAGAGAAGACTTTTAAAAGAATGTGGCACGCGTCCATTACTCTCTATTGTTAAATAATGTATATAAATATAAGATGTATAACTTTATTATTGTCAATGTAATTTGTGTTTAAATTAACATAGAAGTTCTATAAACATCGATAATCACTAGTCTCTCTAATATTATTTTGCATTTCTATACAAAGTAAGGGATACCATTTATATATTATTTTCGCAATTAACTAAATGGCTTTCGTCAATACAAATATTTACTTTATACATATTAGAGAAAATTTAATGAAATATATTTGAGAACTTTTTCACCCCTTTCTTTTGACGTCACTCACCTTGTGCGATATTTATAAATAGATATTATTTTAGTATATATCTTATACTGTTCTATCTATACTTTGTTAAAGACAATATTGTGCAGATACCAACTTACGATAAAGTAAAATGACGATATATGTATGCATTTAAAAAATTTAAGATAATAAACTATACATATGTTATACAGATAACAGTAGTCAAGTAATACACAGATATAATTCGACACAAATATTCTGGATACACACAGCTATTAAATTTTTGTGCAGTATATAAATTGCGGCTTTCTCTAATTTTAAGAAGGGCATGACTTGTCATAAATTCTCATCGCCCTTATATGTTAGTAAGCATGTTAAAATAATAATAACGTGTGTGTGTGTAGATAATAACCTTAACGCAGATATTTATAATTATTAGATATTAAAACTGAAAATTCATTTTTTATTTCACTTATTTTTTATTTATTTCAACATACTCTTCTTGCTATCTTCGTGAAGCACAAGTTTTTAATTTTTAGTTTCCGTTTCATATTTTATTTTATATTTATATTATATTTTATTTTATATTTTTGTATTTTATATTTTTTCCGTTAAATCTAATTGTTAGTGTTTGCATATGTATAACGAGTATACATCTATGACAAATGCTATTGTTACCTGGAATATTTGGTTACTACTGAACTGGTATGACGTGGGTACCAATAAACCAGAGGATGTAGGACGATACATCATTCCTGCAACATTGTCTGAAATATACAGCTTACATTAATAATCGTGGATGTAAATCCATTAAACGTATGATGCGTGGAGATTAGAGAAAATTCTCTTATTTTGTAGTCTCGTTAATTTCATAATCTGTTGTAAAAATTTACCTTGTCGCATTGGAGTAGCACCTGGTCGTAATGTTTTCAGATCGGAATATCTCGGCTGCATTGGCGGCCGTCCTCTTCCACGACCTGTGATCGGTGCGGGAAGCAGTTTTGGTAACAGCGGTTGTGGACCCTTTGCGCTCATCGCCATAGCTGCGAGCGCATTTGGATTAGTCGGACCAACGGGTCGCGCGCGATTTACACGCGGTATTTTGGCCGGTGGTTCCCAATCCACCGCGGGCTCCAAGTTCCTCTCCGGTCTAAACTTCTTCGTGCAGGCGAGTATGTGCCGCGTCAATTTACCCTTCTGATTGTCCTCGAATGGACAGTTCGGGCACTGATGGAAAGCGGGACCGCGTTCCAATCTACCACGAGTATTATGCTCTGCTTCCATATGATACAGGATATCGTGAGGACTACGAACCTCCATCGGACAGAAGTTACATTTGTAAACATAATTGCGCATATGCGGAGTTTCTAGATGATGCTGCATGACTAATGTCGATTCCGTTTTAAAACTACAGAACTCGCATTTCTTCATCTCTAAATGGAATGGTTCGTTATTTTCTTTACTAAACTCTAAATTCTTGATAAGTGAATTTATAGCTAATTGAGTCTCAGCTGATGTGCTACCTTTGCCTTGTTTACGTTTTTGAGTCCGTAAGAGATCAGTTTGCACATACTCCTGAACAAGGTTCATTCCAATTTGCATAAAGAACTTTCCCAATGGCAGATCAAAATATGTCGGTATTTTATTTCTGTCGTCTTGCCTTAGATCATGCTTATCACTTAAACTACTGAATCCATGATCGATCAAGTCTATTGAATTGTCACCTCTATCATCTCCCTCTCGCTTACCCTTTCCCTCCATATCACTGTCCTCAGATTTGTCATTACCTCTTTTAACATCTAAAGAATCTTCTTTATAATCTTCATTGTCCTTATTTTCGTCAGCAAGTCTTTTCATCCTTTCTTCCTTTTCTATCTCTTCAATGTTTCTCTCCAACTTAGTGACAAATTCTTTCAGTGGTTTTAGAGGTGGTTTTTCATATACATAAGGTACTATAAAAGATGGTGCTTCAACCACGAACATATCATCGGTCAGTGTCGGCAAAATCGGCGGTACCGTCGGCGTAACTGTGGTCATACTACTGGTTTTCGGGCTTAGTTGTGCCGCTTTTGACGTCATGGGTACTGGTGTGATAGTTGTCCTCATATTAGGGTACATTGTCTGCGTTGTCATACCACTCATCGGGACAACTGAGAACGGATTGGAGTTGGAGACCGTGTGATGAGGTTTGCTGTTACTCACGGGAACTCCACCGCGTCCCGAGAGAATGGAGTTTGTATCTATTATAACTAAAGTAGGTTCCTTCTTTCCGCCTTTAATGGATTTACTACCAGCGGCGATCTCCACCAACCGTTTAGTATCATTAACGACAATGGTAGTTTTACTGTTTCTAACTGGTGATTTTAGTTTAGAATTTTCTTTATCCTTACTGTCGATACCGGCTAATGGATCTTCCGGTTTAATCTCTTCTATGTCAGATCCATCGTCTTCTACTTCCTCCTCCAACTCCTTCTCTATATAGCTTGTTCGTTTAATGTTGCGCGAGCTTCTTCTCGGCGTGATACTACTAAGATCTACTTGTTTTCGTGGTTTTCTCTGTTTTGTGGGATCTTTAATAGCACGGTCTAGTGATGAATCATGATCGTTGCTTTTCATGCTATCAGTTATTTCTTCGATGTCGGGACTGCCACAGCTTCCATTTTCCTCACAGAGCTTGACGTCTGACTTCTCCATACTGCTGTCAGCGATTTCACTACTGTCACAACTACAGTTTGATGACACATCATTGTCATGCTTCTCGATGGTTTTCTTCGAAAGGAACACATCGTCATTATCCAATTGTATTTCGGTAATGCTCTCATCAAGACATTCTATATCAGAGTTATTACTTTGTTCATCTACATCCATAGCTTCACAGGATGTGTTTTTCACACACTCGCTTATTTCAGTTTTAGACACTTCACTAGAATTGTTCGTCTCACTTACACCGTCGGGTGAGTTGGATACTTTAAAGTCATTTTTCAAATCAAACGTTTCACCCTCCTTACTAGTATTACCTACTTCTTCATTTCCATCACTATCTTCATCTTTTGCTTCTTGAATGCCGACTGCTCTTTCATGATCATCCTCGTCATATTGCTCGTCCACATCTTCTTCCTCTTCCTCTTCCTCGTCTTCATCACCCTCCTCCTCCTCCTCCTCCTCTTCTTCTTCTTCTTCTTCTTCTTCCTCTTCTTCTTCTTCTTCTTTAGCGATAACATCTTTCAGAGCTGTCTTGCTTGTATTATCACTGGTATCCATATATTCTTCGTTGTCGGCGCTATAATTCCCATTGACACCATTTGGAATAATCATATCTGTGAACAAATATTTCATATATAATTATTTAATATATAAACATTATTATTCATTAAATAAATATCTTAATTATTTTAAAAAAGCATCAATATAAATACAAATATATATGTAATTATTAAAAAAAATATTCTTGAATCAAAAGCATATCTTTAAAGTTATTACTCTTAATATACCATTAATGTTTCTGTGATAAACTAATTTTAATTTAACGTAAGGCTGAAAGAATTGATAGAAAATCAAACAAGATAGTATCGTATTTGCAGCGAATATATTCTAGATGTAGATATTAGTTATGAAATATGGTATATGCATAGAATATAGTTTTTCCAAAGCGTTTTTCTAAAAGCTTTCAAGTTGCAATAATGGATGGTAATCTTTAGGTAAAATACTGTCACATATAATTATGACCAAGCTATGATCAGTAATAAATAAATTAGATAACAATGTTATTGCTGTCTTATCAGTTTCAACAAGACTTCTCAGTGAAATATGTAACACCTTTATAAATTACAACATAGATTTGCATACTTTGTTTATATTACATGCAGAAAAAATATGAAATCTTGTTCTCTCTCTCTCTCTCTCTCTCTCTCTCTCTCTCAATTTTCTTTTATTTCATATTATTTTATATTTGTCTAAAATATGATATGTATAATATCTGCTGTAAGTGATACATGCTTTCAGAGACCTTGTCTTATAATTAGAGAGCCTGATACTGAATCAATTAATCAAAAATCTCTCTCAGGCAGACAGCCATGTGCTAGCAAAAGTACACTATGCAACTTGGTATACAATTTGATCCGGCCATACAAAATGACATTGTGACAAAGTTCTGTGATCTACAGATCCAAAAGGATCTACAATCCAAAGGATCTGAACGCAAACTGTGAAAATTGAATTTTACCAAGCGTTAGAAACGTGAAACAGGAGTCAGTGCTCACCTTTCAAATGTTTATCGGAACTGTCTTGTGACTGAGAAGTGTCCTTAGAGGCAAGCTCCTCCAGCGTGCCTTCCATGAGTCCACCGTGGTCCGCCGCGCGGTCGATCTACAATTAACGACACACCACTGATGACAATCGGAGAAGGCAAGAAAGGCGAGACGAAGTGCACCACAGCTACACGTTCACCACCTCGGGGATGGCGAAGGAGGCCTGGCAGAGATGCGAGGGAAGAGAAGGAAATTTTTAGCGAGGCCGAATTTTTCAAAATGGCGCTGCGAATTCCGCACTTGCGTCCGCTCTCGCTCCCATAACCAACAAACTTCCGTCTGAGCCCGAGGGGGTATCCGATGTCGTGTATGTATGTGTGCGTGTGTATGTGTGCGCGCGCGAGCGCACGAACGACCGCGCGGGTATGTTGCACCTGGGGCGTTTCGAATGCTATCGCGGTAGCAACAGCGACGGCGACGGTGACGGCGATGATGACGGCGTCGTCTCAAGTTCAAACGTTCTGTCTTCACTTGGCGTGCGTGAATGAATACGCGATTCGCTTGCACGCGCGCACACGCGACGACCGACGAACAGACGAACAGACGCACAGACGGATAGATGGACGGACGAATGGACGGACGGACAGACGGACCGACGGACCGACACACGAATGGATATCCGCGACTCCTGGTTCAGGCGACTCCAACTCACGCGAGAACAGTTAGCGTCGTCTGCCAGCTAGCGCAGGTAGTCATCTGCATCAACCTGCATTCACTAACCACCGCTAGCGTCTGCGAGTGCCAGTCAGTCATTCCATCAAACCATGCAGCCAGTTCGTCAGTCGTCGATCCCGACCCTCCGTGCGCGCCGCATCACTCTCTCTCACTCTGTCTCTTTCTCTGTCTCTGTCTCTCCTCTCTTCTCTTCTCCTCTCCTCTCCTCTCCTCTCCTCTCTCAACCTTCGCAACCTACCAACCTCCTCTACACCTATACCCAGAAAGAGAGCCTGCACGTATATAGAGTATCTGTGTACGTATACCGCGGCTGCGCGCGCGCAAAGCTTTCCGACGAGGCGTTACACGTTAGACACTACAAAGAGGACGAAGGCAAGGACTATGACGAGACAATAAATCAACCGCGCCAATTTTTCCGAGGATAAACGTCTGTGAACAACGACGTTCAGCGAATTCGGCGAGTGAATCGTCGGAACGCCAAAGAGGTATCGTACGATTCACGTTACCGCCTCTTCCACGAGCGTGACGTTCACATCACGAACCTCTCGCGACGTACCCCGGCGTCGTAAGGAGGTGGGGAAGGGATTCCAGGGGACAGGAAAGCGAAAGAACCCGCGCAACGGCTTCGACTCGTCTCCCGTCGAGAGAGAAAGAGAGGAGAGAGAGAGAGAGAGGGGGGGAGGGGGACGACTGGGGAGATCAGGGGGGAAGATCTTGGCTGCCGACCGGGATGGCGTCGACGTAGAGGTTATAAAGCCTGAGACCACAATTGAAAAGAACAAGCAATAAATAATAGACGAATAGAGAATAAGAGATTGCAACGTATCAGAAACCGTGTATACTAGAAAGTTTACGATTTTTGATAGGTTGAAATTTGTCATTCCTGTTCCTATTGTCTGTGTTTTTTAATGGCTGCATTCAATATTACAATCGCTCACCGAGCTCTTGCATCTGATTAGCATATTTCATTAAATTCAAAAATATATGCCTGTTTAGTTAGACTCTTGTACTTAAGGCTTCCTTAAATTTATCTTTAGATGTTCAGTAGCCAATGAAATAATTCGTAGAGTATCTGAAGATAAATTTAAGGAAGACCAATATAAGGCCTGACTATGAATACGGGTATCAGATCAGAGCTCATTAAGCGAGCAATTGTAATACAGAGGATGCGTTCCGTTTTGCGCACTCAGCGCTTGTAGTATCATTTATGATAGACAACAAGGATGATGTGATGTGTACAGCGTGTAAACGTGAAAACGAAACGTATCCTGAATGTATCCATTTAAGGTGCTTTCTCACGAGTCAGAATTTCGGAAAAGTAAGACCAATCAGAATTATTCGTCTGTATAATGCTAAACTTTAATGATTCTGATTGATGATCGTATGACTTTTCCAAGATTCCGTTTTCCGAAATTCCAACTCATCTATCATAGGGAAGCACACCTTTAGGCTTAATAAATTTCAATCTATTAGAAACGGTGTATTCTTATCATATTCATGGTTTTTGATGAGTTGAAATTTGTTATTACTTTTGGGCGTTTTCCAGCAAAGTACAGTGAATTGTTTCATCCTGTAACGTTGACAAACAACAAGTATGTGATAATTCTGTGTTACACTGGGAGTTTTCCAGAAGTACAATACAATGAGTCCTTACATCCTTGTTGTTTGTCAGCATTAAAGAAGAACGAAATGATTCAATGTGTTATACTGTGTTCATGCTGCAAAATGTCCCTTGTATCCTTGTTGGAAAACGCTATGATTAAGCCTTCATTAAAAAGTACAAGAAATAGAAATAGAGAATAAGAGTTCAACTTATTAAAAACCAAAGAGTCAGTTACAGTTCCTGAAATGAGAAAATTACAAAAGTGAGTAAATAGTATTGACTAAGGCTGTGATCAAAGTCTCTTAACGCTACAAATGCTTTGAAGCGTTTGATGGACCAATTAGAAGAAAGAATTTTACAAACTGATCAATTAAAAAACGCTTCAAAGCGTTTGCAACATCGCGTTGACCATATCCTAAGTATTGACAATGAAGTTATGAATAATCTAGTAAATTTGCTTACTTTGTAATTTTTTAAGAACCGTAATAGGCTCCCAGAACACACCATTTTTGATAGGTTGAAATTTACTATTCCCTATTCCTATTGTCTTGTCTGTAATATTCTTTAATTGTGCACTAGGCTTTAGACTTAAAGCCATAATCACACTATAGATTATGACTCGGAACTCCCGATTATTATTCAACCAATCACAGCAAGGCACCGGCTACTTCTGATTGCCGAGTAAAAATCGCGAATAAAAATCACTCTATTTTCAGTCGACAACATTGAATCGAGTCGAGCCAAGTTAGAGTCGTTGGATAGACTTTTTTCCCTCCTTCAGAAATTCATCCCTTAAGTAATTTTTACGTGTGGGACTGAGACTTAACCGAGTCTGAAATCCACGGAATGGAAGAAGAAGAATGAGTGTCGGGAATCTATAGTGTGATTACATCACACTATATATAAAGATAAAAGGAGAAAATCAACTGTCCGATCGGATTTGACAGATCGCCGGCCCGGTCAATTCGCCCCCGAGATTTGACGATCGGAGAAAACGATCGGAGCTCTTCTCTTCAACGGTACTCGTGGATGCCGCCTGCTTTCCACGGTCACTCCCGTGCTTACCGACGTGAAACGCGCACGTTTTCGCCAGCCCGACGGCCCCGTTCCGACTTGTGCTCGTGAGATCCCCTCCCGGCGCCACGAGACGCCGCTATTCCTCCGACTTGCACCAAGACGTCACGTCACGTCACGTCACGCGTTGCACGCGTTCCTTACGCTCTTCTACACTTTCTGTCTCCAGAAGGTATATGGCACGAGAACGAGAGCTCATGGCTTTCCGAAGCGAGGGGGGCGAGACGAGGCCGAGGCGCGGCGATTCCCAGCGGTGTTTATTACCGTATTCAGAAGTGCCTTCCACCCCGGTTCCCAAGCTCCTCCAAAATCCTCGACGACGGGCTCGTCCTGTCTTGACGCGCGCGCGCGCGCGCGCACCAACTCGAGAGATTTACGGCCGTGAAGAAGATGCAACTCTTCTGCGCGATGCACACTCGACTCGACGCGCCGCCGAGGACGCGACGACGCGCGCTTGAGAGCGCAGAAGCACGGACGGACGAACAGACGGATGGACGGATAGACGGGCGGGCGAACCGACGGTGCTGACGCGGAGTGAGAGAGACAGACGGAGGGAGACACGCACACATATATATACAGACACACACACATACATACGGATGACACCGTGTCCAGTCGGAACGTAAAAGCTCGTCCACGACCCACGACGACGCGGCCGTGCGTCACTCGGCACGCGCGTAACGACGAGCGACGTGGTTGAGGCTATCGCGTCTTCCATTCATGCCGCTCTCCGCGCTTTTTTTTTCCTCCCTCACTTCAACCGTCCAACTATTCCGAATCGTGCGTCTTCGTACGCTTCGTTCGCTTCGAGTAATCGGGTGTACGAGAGAGTGTAGCAGGTACAGGTAATACGCGCGGGTCGCAAGCTGCAACCGACAAGCAGCTTCCCCTCCCGACGGAGGAGTTGAGGTTAATTTTCCAAGCTCTCCTTTGAGCTTTACATATCTCTCTCTCTCTCTCTCTTTCTCTCTCTCTCTCTCTTCACCACTCGATATCATTTAGAGATTATCAATCGCCGTTGACCGCGTTGTTAATCCCAATCAACCTTCCCGGTTGGGGCCACAATGCGCTCAATGACAAATGGTGTATACGTACCTAGAGACGAAGAGTGAGAAGACGGAGATGACAAACGACAGCGGCGACCACGGTGAGGACGGGGGCGCCGAGGCCAACGCCGA